TTTAATGAATCCCTAAGTCCTATGGATAAATATGCTCTTAATATTGTCTTAATAAAGCCCTAAGTCCTATGAATGGGATTTAAAATAATATATTACAGTTCATAGTTCAAAAATCAATTAAAATTAAACTTGATCGGGTTGATCATTGTGCTTATTGCCTACTTTGACAATGAGGTTCCTTTTTTAAATTCAAATTCATAAACTATTTTGAAATGCATGACAATTTTTTCCAGAATGCAGAACTGCTTAAAGGTCATAAGTATTACTCCAAAGAGTTACTGAGGGTCCAGCAGAAAAGAAAGAGGAAATAGTTTCCCAGTTATTGGTGCTATAGGTATATGGTTGTCTATTGGTCAGAGGGGGAGAAGGGTGGTGTTTAAGTTGTGATTCATTATAGAAATTTAAAAAGCTCTGTACTACTGACCAAATTGCAGAACAAGGAGAAGGGCCTGGAGCGGAAACCTAGTAGTCCAGAAGCCCAGTTTTATAAACACTTTTCTGAAGGTAAATAAGAAACATGTGGCCTTTCACTACCAAGACCTGGCTGACGAAAATGATGTTGGCTCCATGAGGACTGGCTTTGCCATCTTGCTTATTACTGTATGCCTGGCACAGTGCCTGGCATACAGCACATCCTCAGTAAACATTAACTAAAGCAATACATGGCTGAATCTTCTTTGACATCATTCTATCACTTTATGGAATGAATATTACAAATGAAGAACAATGCATAGCAATTTTATAATAGGTATCAGCCAGACCTGAATTCACCCCTCACTTTGTCATTACATGGGCTATAGAGCCTTGTCAGTTTCTCTTAGCCTTTATATTTCAGTTTATTTTTATGTAACATCAAGGTAATAATAACAACCTCCTGGGCTTGTTCTGAGGATTATCTAAGATAATGCATGGAAAGAAATTAACCCAGTGCTTCATAATTATTAGCTTACTATTGACACTAAAATGGCATTAAAAGTACCAAAAGCAGCTTTATAAAATGGCATTTTTATAAACTTCTAAATATTTTTTCTTTTGTTATGAAAATTTTCAAAGATAATATTATCCTATATAATAAAGAGGTAATATGCAAATTGACTGTCTCTCCAACACACAAGATGACTGCCACAAGATGGCTGGCAGAGGAGGGAAGTTGTGGGCAATAAGGCCATCAGGGAAGGGCAGTTGTGGGCAATCAGGCCTGCAGGGGAGAGTAGTTGGGAGGGACCAGACCTGAAGGGGAGGTCAGTTAGGGGTGATGTGGCCAGTAGAGGAGGGTAGTTGGGGGTGACCAGACCTTCAGGGGAAAGCAGTTAGGGGCAACCAGGCTGGCAGGGGATGGCAGTTAGGGGTGACTGGGCCAGCAGGGTAGGGCAGTTGGGGGGGACCAGGCCAGCAAGAGAGGACAGTTAGGGAGAACCAGGCCTAAGGGGAGGGCAGTTGGGGGTGACCAGGCCAGCAGAGGAGGGCAGTTAGGGGTGACCAGGCCAGTAGGGGAGGCAGTTAGGGACAATTGGGCTGGCAGGGCAGCAGTTAGGCAAGGATCAGGCTGGCAAGCAAAAGCAGTTAGGGGCAATCAGGCAGGCAGGTGAGCAGTTGGGAGCTAGCAGTCCTGGATTGTAAGAGGCATCAGGCCTAAACAGGCAGTCAGACATCCCTCTAGGGCCCCAAGATTAAAGAGGGTGCAGGCTGGGCTGAGGGACACACACACACACACACACACACCCTGCACAATTTCACACACATACATACACAAATACAGTAGAAAGCATAATGAAATTCCATGTACTCAATACCTAGTTTCAAGAGTTATCAGCTCAAAGCCCACTTCTCCAACCCTTTGGGTTATTTTGAAGCAAATCCCAGACATCATTCATGTTACCTGTATTATTTCAATATGCATCTCTAAAAGTAATAAAAAGTTATGACTAAAATCCCATATCACACTTAAAAATAATTAATAATGAACCACTAATTAGATGAATTACTGGCCTTTGTGCTGGAAGCCACAAGGAGAAAAGAGGAAGAGAATAAAGTCTGTCTAAGGCCAAGGTTTAGGCAAGTTCTCTCCAGACCCAACACAATGGAGGAATTCAATCTCACTGTTAAAGTGAACTCTTCCTACTAAGTTGGGGAGGGGAGAGGGGAAGGGGGAGTGGCAGAGGGGGACAGCTAGGGAATGAATTTGAAGCCAGCATTTCATGGCTGGACCAAAGAAGAGCAGGGGTCCCTGATTTTCTTTAATGTTTTTACTTCCCAAAGCAAATGTCATTTCACTTGAAATAATTCTATAAAATTCTTCTGCTTCCAAATTGTTAGAGTTTTAGAATTTAATTTTCTCTTTTCATCTACTTTGAGGCATTGTTGTCCATGTTGGCTTTTAATGCAAGTATGATATCACACAGAGAGCTCACTAAATGCTCACAGAACTGGTTAGGTTTCTGAAATTTAACATAGCACCAAAGTTCACATATTTGAGAGAATCAGGTTTTAGTATAATCTATGCTTTCTTCCCTTGTCCTCCTAATTTCCCTTTATTTGTTCTACAAAGTCAATAATCTAGCAGAAACCCCAATTTCATTCTCTGCTGCTCTGCTTTTTAAACTTTGAATTCATATATTTTTCTTTTATTCTTAACTGGAATTTGAAGCAATTTGATTGCTTCAAAACAAGAGATATTGGTGTTGAAGATATTGAACATTTGCCAAAACCGGGTTGGCTCAGTGGATAGAACATCAGCCTGCAGACTGAAAAGTCCTAGGTTCGATTCCCGTCAAGGGCACATACCTTGGTTGTGGGCACATCCCCATGGGAGGTGTGCAAGAGGCAGCTGATCGATGTTTCTCTCTCATTGATGTTTCTAACTCTCTACCCCTCCCCCTTCCTCTCTGTAAAAAATTAATAAAATATATTTTAAAAATAGATATTGAACATCAATAGTATAAATCCAGCTCCGCCAGTGTAGCTCAGTAGATTGAGCATCATCCCACAAACCAAGAGGTCACCAGTTCAATTCCAGGTCAGAGCACATGCCCAGGTTTCAGGCTCTATCCCCAGTAGAGGTGTTTAGGAGGCAGTCAACCGATGTTTCTCACATCGATGTTTCTATCTTTCCCTTTCTGTCTCTAAAAAAATATCAATAAAAACATATTTTTTAAAAATAGTGCAAACTCAGATAATCATCCCTCCTTTAAATACCAACACTTTTTGCAAAGTCTAGAGTTCAGAGAATATCGTCAGCAAGTGAGTGAAGGATGATGCTAAGAAGGCTAGAGGACAAGAAGCACCAAGAAGGTGCAAAGGAATGAACTTAATATGTGATGCAAGTTCCCCTGTTGGAGAGCTAAGTTAGCTTGTAATATAAATTTAACTTGGAGGAGAAGGAGATAAGGAGTGTAGATTCAAAAGTCTGACAGTTTGGAAGCACTGGAAAACCTGGTGTTGTTACTCCAATCAGTAACAATGTTATCTTTACACTAAAGGCCCAGTGCATGGATTTGTGCATGAGTGGGGTCCAGCTGGCCCCCATCCCCGATCAGGGTTGGGGGCGCTGTGATTGTGGCTGGACTGGCTGGGGGGACGGGGGGGGGGGGTGCGGGGTGCAGGAGGTCATTTGGCCCTGCCCCTGATCAGGGTGGAGGGGACCTATTGGGCCGACCACGGGAAGGGACCACAGGTTGTTGAGGGGACTTATCGGAGCCCTGATCAGGCCAGTTGGCTGCTGCAGTGTGCATCATAGAGACTGGTCATTCTGGTCACTTGGCTTTTATAAATAGATAGATAGATAGATAGATAGATAGATAGATAGATAGATAGATAGACAGATACTACAGTGTCTGCTTTCTCTGTTAGAAGTTGGCTTTGGGAAGGTAGGGGCTGTAGCCTTGCTTCTGAGAACAATGCTTAGCATATAACAGTGCAGTAAATACATGTTAAATTATTGAATGAATAAAGAATGAATGAATGAATGAGTACTGCTCAGCGGCCTTCTCTGTTACTTATTAAACAAACCATTTTACTAAGAACTTGAGAGAGAGTACATAAAAGGAAAAAAGCCAGAATATATTTCCTCTTTTAAGCTTCTTTAAAAAAAAAATCTTTGCTTTTTTTTTGTACTTTAATGTACAGTTTTAGAGTCTCTAAAAACATGTGATAATAAATGTTTGGGTAAAAAAAGGTGATATAAAGAACCATGGGCAAGGAGCAATAACCTAGTTCAGTCAAATTTCCAAAAAGTTATGTAAAAGATCTAACGTAGCTCAAAATGATCTCTCCACACTCATCCTTTTAAAGGCTCATTTGGTTTGACTTACACAGAAATCACTCAAAATCTTTATCAGATTCTGGGAACTGAGGGTGGGAATAGAAAGGAAGAGGCATAACTTGAGTGGGGATCATACTAACGAGTACAAAGCAGGGAGTGCTGCAGGGAGCCAGAAGGTGTGGAGGGTATGAGATGTACCAAGAAGTTTACTCAGAGAGCTTCCAAAAAGGGAAGAAAAGGAAAAACAATCAGAGCCCTCAAATTTGAACCACTGCCAGGGCTCTGATAGCTATAACTGCCAAGCACATCACTCAAATCACACCCACTATGAGCTTCTCTGCCTCCAGGGCTCAAGCTCCCTTAAGATTTCATGAGTTGCTCCATTCACTCACCTGTGAGCACCTTGCACAATTCCTGCCCTACCCTGCCCTCCAGTCCTCCAATCCTCAGGGATTTCTCCCCCTCCCTCTCCCCACTTTCACAGTTAAGGAAGCCTCAATCCCTACAAAAATGAGCTTCTACCTCAAAGTGACTTACAGCAAATGTTTTCTTGAAGCAATTCTTTACTTGCATAATTTCCCTAATAAAATGCATTCAAAAGTGAAATTTGGTTTTGCTTCAAGGAACCTCAGTTAAACACAGAGGAGGATGCTCTGCCTGAAGATTCTAATTTCCTCTTCTGATCAGAGCAGTGCTCTCATTCAGGGGATCACGGGTTGCCTGACCGGTCACACTCGCAATGATGCCTAAACATTGCCTTCTAGGCTTTCTCATCACTCTCTTCCCAACTGGTGCTGCAGGTAAGTGCTTCATTTCTTTTTAATTGCTCACAGTTTTGTCATCTGCGTGTGCTCAAGGGATTGTTAGACATGACATTGCTGCTTTTCTGGGCTTTGTAAAATTTCCAGCTTCCTTCTATCTTGAAATAATCAGAACAGACGTGGGGTCAGTTTTTATCTGCAACCTGAATAACTAACTCCACATGGATTTACTGAGTAGCTACTCTAGTGGGTGCAAAATTCAGACAGGACCAACATACAATCACCTCTGTCTCCTTAGCATTTCTTTTGCCTTCAGAGGACATGACAGCTTAGTGGGTAGAAACAGTCTCCTAAACCAGACTATCTGAGTCTGGATTTCAGCTCTGCCATTGACTCTGTAGGAAAACTTGGACAATTAACTTAACGTTCTGGTGCCTCAATGTCTTCATCTGCAGAAATGGAATTGTACATATTATGAGGATTAAATGAATTAATATATGCCAAGTGTTTGGAGCAATGCCTGGCACAGAATAGAGACAGTAAAGAACATGTGCGAATTTGCTCTTAGTATTCACAGAGAACTCTTCTACAGCAGAAACCATCATCGCCCCAACATACCTCTGAGCAAGGCCATTAGGACCCCCAGTTAACAGATGGTACCTCTCAATGTGAGTGACTCAAGTAAGTTTCCCGAAACTGTACAGTTGCCCAGTGACTGGTTATATAAAAACAGTTCAAGCCTCTACCTCCCAGAATTGTGTGCAGTTGTGCAGACTATGCCTTTGGTCCTTGGTAAAGCCAAGGACTAGCTTAGCAAAGCATGGCAGGAATTCAGTGCTACCCAAATGATCCTGGCTCTGCATCTTACCAGGTCTGTAACCTTGAGCAAGATAGGCAACTTCTTTGAGTCTCAGCTTTGCTATTGTAAATATAGTAATAAAAATACCTGCTTTATCTGGTGATTTGGGAATGAAATAAGATATAAAGCTTTGAGCACTGTGCCTGAAACATGTTTCATGTTCATAGACACTCATGCTCAATGAATGCCAGCTGGGAGGAGGAGGAAGAGGAAGAATATCTCTAGCCTGTAGTTGTTTTGTTTTCTCCATTAGCTCTTCTCTTCCGAGGCTCTGTACTTGGTTTACCATGATAACAGGCAGGCTTTGGAGTTTGCTGCTGCACAAGTTCCTTCTGCCCGACAAGGGTTAGTTTTTCAGTCTGAGAGAGGAAGATGACAACAATCCATTTCTCATAGAAAAGCCGGGCAGAGTAAATGAGTTAATGTAGATAAAAGCCCCTCGGTGTCTGGTACAGAGTGATTTGCTATTATTTTGATGATTGTCTTACAAAAATTAAGAGAAGAAATCTGTAGACAGATAAGGGATACCGAATCATTTATCTTCAGGGTAGCAGATCAACTCCAGGCAAGGGCTTCAGGAATTTGTGCCTGTCATCTGCCAAAAACTCAGGGGAGTCTTATGTATTAAATATGAGTGATTACATAGCATCTTAGTGAGCAAAATTAATGGTGGCAATAGACTCTTTCCAAGTACACACCACCATTTGATACACTAAAGGAGGTAAAAAAATAAAATAAAATAAAAACACTCTTCCTCCTCCACCCCCACCCCCCCCGAAATAAGAGTATTAACACTATTTGGGTGGTAAAAATAAACAAACATTAGAAAATAACACATCTTGAATGTTCAGAGCTGAGATTATGGGTTAGGGTTATTTGCTTCCACCTCAATGATATTTGAGCAAAGACTTGAGGTATGTGGAAATCCAGGGAGGAGTATTTCAGCAAAAGGGAAGAACCTTCAGTCAGGACCTGGCCCTTTTCAGATACCTTGAACCTGCTCAGGAGGTGAAGCTTTACCTTTGCCCATCTTAGGTTTCCTTAACAAAAGGAAAGATTAACAAGAGAAAAACAGCTTATTAATGCATACAGAGCACATCACAAATGAGAAACCTAAACAAAGAGTAACTCAAAACGGTGGGTCAGAATTCTAGCTTATGTAGCATCTTAAGCAAAAAATAAATAAAAATACATTTGTAGAGACATGACAGGACAAATGAAAGCAATTTTAGGCTTCCAAGGGTGGGAAACTATGAAAAAGTAAATATATGAGAGGAAACTAATAGAGTGAGATTTGTTGGCAGATTCCTCTGATGCCATCTCTGGGTGGGTAAGAGTCAGTCTTTGTAAAAGAAGAATTTATGTACTGGCTTTAATCAGAAAACAGGGGTGAGGGGTGGGGGTGGTGGTCATGCCTGTATTGCTTACTTGCCTTCAGCTTAAAATAAGTTTTTTATATCAAAAGAGGCATATTTTTGGGCAACACGTTCTAGTTTTCTTCAGGCTCTAGAATAAAATATTGTCAAAGGTCTCTTGCCTCCATGGGACTAAGTACAGGTAAGACTGCATCATCCTGTCAAATGACCTGAGGTGGAAAGTACAAGCCATGCCAGGGCAAAATCATCCTTTCCTGCCATGATTGCTGTTGAGAGCCTTCTCAGGGGCAGTAGGCCCTTGGCAGGGTCTTGGGCAGTCTCCCTTCATAGCCTGGGCCAGCTTTTCTGAGCACTGATGCTTGGGTACTTGAAGCCAGGATGCAGGCAGATCAGTGCAGACATTCAGCAGTGGGAAGCAAAGCCGGCTTACCTGGAATATAGGTAGGTCCTCTGGGAGAATTGGAAGACACTGAGATAAGACCCAGAGATTGAGCAAAAACCTGAGAAAGGAAGAACTGAGTGCTGGGCTGAGATCCGAGTCAAAATTGATCCAAGGCAAATGTTCTATCAGAGCAGCCATAATATAGGGCTCTTAGGGAGGTGGGAGAGTAGTCTTGGCATGGGACTTTCATCTCAGTCATTTCACTCCATGACCATCAGGGGAAGGGACTAAGGACAGTATTTTTCCACTGATCTTTACTTCCTCTACGGTTTGGGAATGGGATGGGAGGATATCACGTAGGTGCTGATAGTTGGAAACACAATTGTCCTGAAACTTCAGCATGTATACAAATCATCACATCGAAGATTCAAAATGTTGATTTCTGGGCTCCACTTCCATCATCTGCACTGACAGCAACTTCTTTAGAGAATCCCAATTGAGATATCACATTGAAAACTATGTTAACAATGGTGCTCATATTAATGTTCAGTATTTTCCCTTCTCTATTATTTTAGAAACTCACCCAGCCCCTGAGTCTCTGAAGCCTCAGAGAGTGCATTTTCAGTCCCGGAACTTCTACAACGTTTTGCACTGGCAGCCTGGGAGGGCTTCTGCCAGCAGCAGCAGCAGCATCTATTTTGTACAATACAAAATGTAAGTAATTTGAGTTTCCTCCAACTGATAGACCTGGCCACCGGGAGAACATTTTCTAAAATGCAATGGAATGTAAGAATCTGAGCATTTTTTTTCCCAGTTTCAGAGAGACTGAGAAAAAAGCAGAGGTAAGGGACAGGACTGTCTTCTCTCCCCTGAAGGCCACCTGGTGACACAAAGTGCATGATGTGGTGCAAAATGCTGGGGGCATATGCCATCCCGTGAAAAACTAGCACGGCAACCTTGCAGGCTCAGCCTTTGGCGTCACCGCAGTCTGGCACATAGTGGGCGCTCAAATAACTGTCCAGATCTTCAAAACAGCTTGCTTTGCACACAGCAGACACGTCAACAAGTTGACATGATTAGTACTGGAAAAGAAGTTGTGGGACACATGGAGGTCAGTGTGTAAAATATATCTTCAACATAAATGTCATTTTCTTAGAATGTGTTTACTATTCTAGAAAATGCATTTCAAAATTAATGACTCCTGTAAGCCTGAACACAAACTGGAACGTGTTGCTGCGTGTTCCTCTCATGTGAGCTTCAAGCTAGTTCTGCGGGATCGCTGCCAAACCTCAGATAGGATCATCTCCTTTTCTGGATGGAGGCCTGGAACAGAGGGTTTCTGATTTGCAAATGGCAGGTTTTCCCCACTCAAGCATTTACTGGGGTATTTTTGAGGCTCTTTCCTCTCTTCCACAGTTTGCAGTGCTGACAGCATGAGACAGGAAATAGGACCGTTTATTTTGAAGGTTTTCCATCATACATTTAGAAACCAGGTGTAGCTCTGGACCAAAATAACAATTTTTTATTTCAAAAATTCATCATGTCTCTCCAGCATTGAGTAGGTCCAAGGTCCAAGATTTCCATTGATCAACCTCTCACTAACTTCAGAAGGAATATTTCTAGAATTTTATCAGTTCGTAATTAGTGCAGCTTTTCTTACATTTGGGTAAAATTTACAAAGCTTTACCATAAAGATTTCTCCATTTCAAAAACAGATGCATGCATAGCTGGAGATGCTTCCAGCATGCAGGGAGGGGGGCAGAGTGTTCCTTCTTGTCCTTCCTCCTTAGGCAGCATAAACAGGTCCAGAGTGGGCCTATTTGTGGTCTAATACAAATTAGGGGTTGTTTTATCATGATACTAATGAAGGTTAAACTTTAAGGCAACACAGAAGAATTTTACATTTGTAATTTTTTTTTCTTAACGAAGGCTCCCACACGTGTGTAAAATTCAGACTACCTGGGTCCCTTCTTAGCTCTGTGGTATTATCACCAGCACAACGCAGATTTGTATTTTTGAAATCATTCATTTTGGTTCTATCCAGTTCACATGGGTCTATAATTAATATCTGTCCCATTTGGGTTAGGACAAAAAATAAGGTATCCCATTAATAGAGAGACCAGTCATTATAGCTAAATTCAGCGAGCAAAGACAATTTCTCATCATTAAATAACAATTAAAAAACATTAAATTGTGCTTAATCTATCTTGTTGGTTTTTTTTATGGTATCTTCTGATATACTGAAACTGCTATCATATAGTTTACAAAGTAAAGATATCAGCAATATTCCAATGGCTAGAAAGTCACAGATTTCAAGTCCTTCAACAAATACCTTGAAGCCTTTCTCCTGGCCTCTAATTCCTGTTCTGCACCCACCGTTATCTGGTTGCATTTTCTCTGATTTGTGATGGTAACGATGTAAGCATTATTCTTCCCCTTAGCTGTTACACCATCCCCTAGCTTCAGGATGAATCAGCCTCTCTGTCTCTGCCTCGCTACCTTTTTAACAATTTTAAAGGGTACCCCTCTCTCTTTTCCAGCTCCTCACTTAGAACTCAGTACAATCCCCACTCTATTTCCAATAAAGAAATTGATCATATATGTTGGGTAAGCATCTCCTGAGATTAAAAAGTAGTAGCAACTTCTCAGAATCAGCCACATTACTCAACTGCAAGCTGATGAGAAGCAAAGGAAACCACAGAGTTGAATCCTCAGAAGCATTAAGGATGTGGAGAGCCAGTTCTCAAAAATAAAAGTTGATCCACAAACCGGAAGAAAAACTTCACAAAGTATTAAAAAAAAAAAAAAAAAAACACAAAACACACACACACACACACACACACACACACACACTCACAAAAAAACACACAGACAAAAAACAAAACAAAACACACACAAGCCCTATGCTAGTGATACAGAAGGTGTTGGGTTTGAGTTTATCTTTCATCAAGAGAACACTTTGGTTGACCAAGAAGAAATCTTCTTAAGGATACTTAAAAGTAGCCATAGCTTTCACAACAGTACTGATACTGGAGGGCAATTTTCAACCAGTCTAACACATTAATAGACCGAGAAAACTGTGGACTCCTTCAACAGAAAGAAGACACTCAAACTTGTCTTTTTCCCTTTTATAGCTATGGACAGATACAATGGAAAAATAAAGAGGACTGTTGGGGTATTCAAGAATTATTTTGTGACCTTACCAACGAAACTTCAGATGTTCGGGAGGCTTATTACGCAAGGGTGAGGACGGCTGTGGCTGGGACCCACTCAGCCTGGACCATGACACGGCGGTTCATTCCCTGGTGGGAAAGTGAGTTTCTTTGCATTTGCTTTTCCTGTCCTTGAATAGCCTTTCTAGAGTGTGTCTAGTTGCGAGGCTCTGTGCTTTGCAGAGGTCCACACCATCATCTCACTTGATCAAATACTCAGAACAATGCCAGAAGATGGCTGTGACTACCCTCACTTCACAGCCCAGGAAATGAAGGCACAGAAGTTTCAGTAGTTTCCCAGCCCGTCTAACCAGATCAGGATTCAAATTCTTCTGCATCTGACTGCAGAGTTGACACTCTGTCCCTCTTCCAGACTGTTACCTCCTAGGTAAAAATAAAAATAAAAATAAAAATAAAAAAAGTTTTAGACAGCAGAAAGGAGTTGTATCACTGAGACCCCTCCTAAATAATGGGGATTAAATTCCTGAAAATACTCATTTGAAGAATTACTGTTGAGGAAATTAAGACTTTTGTTACCTCCCTGAAGGGGAGACCAAAGGTTCGCTCTTTTATCCATATCTCCATGATGTAGATTCTTTTTCTAATTTTAATCATAATCCCAGAAAAATATTATAATCAAAGATGTAAATTATGAAATAAATCATTACCAACAGACTAATATAAAAGAGTAGACAAAAGGGAAAGGAAAAAGAGTGTCTAATGCATATGTACAAAGATTTGCATAACAAAACAAGAAAGAAAATGTATTACATATTATAGTCCTCAAAATTGCAACGAGTCATGAAGCTGTAGTTAATATTTTTAATTTCCTCTCTCATTATCAATTCAATGTTCACTTTCTTTCCAGCCAGCAACTCAGCTCTTCAGTCATGAGGAGTTTGAGTTCTTTTGGTCTTTCTTCCTATAATCTTACATTCGTTTTTAATCACAGAATAGAGAGTTCTAGGAGGCACCTCAAGGGATATCAGGCATACTTTTCCCTGACCCCAATGTGTCTATAACAATTCCATTTCCTCTTGATAATCAGAACCAATTGTCCCAGACAACACATAGACCTTATTTTCACCTTGTTGGTTAAATGGCACCAAGAGCTTCAAACAGTTAGGAGGCAGCCTTAACTTTCAAGTATTGGAAACTATTGTTATTAGCCAGAATGATTAAGAATCAAGTGTATGGGAAACAACCATTTCATGAATCAGTTGATATGAGAATTGCTTCTCCCACCACCACCATGTCTTGTATCTTAAACCAGTGAATTCTGTCTATGGGGAAAACAGCGCCATATATTGGTCACAAGATTAGAGCAAATATGAATTCCTACACAACTTCCCAAGGAGTTGTCTCCCAAACTGAGTTTTCAATTATCCACTTTACTTCCTATAAAGCCCCATTGCTGAGATAGAATATATAAAGGCTTCACTTCTTCCGTATTAACTTAGTTCTTCTGTCATAAGCAATGGAGTGTGGGGTACCATGCTCATGCATAAGACAGTCCTTATTACATCCATGGTAGAGGATAACCAGGGGGACTGCTGATAACTACATTCTATTCCAATGCCACTTGCCCCCTCCCCATGGAAAGAGATAAAAATATCTACTATATAAAATGAACCATGTACTAGGGTTGGTTAATCTTACTAGGAATTTGGACACTAGTGTCAGTCCAGCCTTGGCAAGAAGAAGTCCATATTGTTGAGTCTATAGCCTCCATCCGTTTCACACAACCATTTTATTCATGAGCCTATTAAGCAAGTATGGGACACTAGGGAAGTGGGCCTTTCCTGCCTCCATCTAGATTTTCAAAGCAGCTTTATTGAGATACAATTCACACCCCTTATAATGTGTACAATTCATTTTTTGTATATTCACAAATAGGTATAACCATCATCCACACTCAATTTTAGAACATTTTCACCACCTCAAAAAGAAATTCCATACACACTGGCTATCACCATTCTATCCTTTTACTTCTCCAGCGTTTTAGCCCTACACAACCACTAATCTACTTCTGTCTCTACAAAGTACCCTGTTCTTGGCATTTCATATGAATGGAATGATCTAATATGTGGTCTTTGGTGACTGGCCACTTTCAGTAAGTATAATGTTTTCAAGGTTCCTCTTATTGCATCATATTTTAGTACTTCCTGTCTTTTGTGACAGAATTACATTTTAGAATATGGATAGACTATGTTTTGTTTATCCATTTCTCAGCTGATGAACATTTGAATTGTTTTCACCTTTTGGCCATTATGAAAAGTGCTCCTATAGGAATTCGTGTAGAAGTTTTGGTATGGACATATGTTTTTATTTCTTGGTGGCACATACCATAGGAATAGAATTGCTGGGTCACATAGTAACTTTATGTTTAATCATTTGAGGAACTGCCAGACTGTTTTCCAAAGCAGCTGTACCATTTTACATTCTCATCAGCAGGGTATGAGGTCCTGATTTATCCACATTCCACATTCTCAGAAACACTTGCCTGACTTTTTTTTTTTTTTTTTTTTTTACAAAACATGAGGTGAATGTGGAGAAATCAAAGCTCAAAAGTTCAAAATTTCCCCGAAACCGGTTTGGCTCAATGGATAGAGCGTCGGCTTGGGGACTGAAAGATCCCTGGTTCGATTCTGGTCAAGGGCATGTACCTTGGTTGCAGGCATATCCCCAGTAGGGGGTGTGCAAGAGGCAGCTGATCGATGACTCTCTCTCATTGATGTTTCTAACTCTATCTTTCTCCCTTCCTCTCTGTACAAAATCAATAAAATATATATATTTTTTAAAAGTTCAAAATTTCATGGGAAATTTTGAAAATGCATAGTACAAGTAAATATGGCATGTGTTTCATCCAAAATTCATAGAGGTCCAACGAGCCAGTGAATGTTTCTTAGTAATAGGGGGAGCAAAGTAAAGCAACTTGTCTTTCACTTGAGAGGAAATGTCTCTAACAAACTGCAGAGGAAATTTAATTACAACATTTAATTATAGTGCCTAGTACTTTAACCAACCAAATGTAATCAGTATCATGTGATCAATTTAGTGAACCAACAGGATATCCTGTGAAAGGATCAATGACTGTAGATTATTTGTGACAGAAAGCCAGGATGACAATGAAAGCCAAGTGAGCCCAGCCGGTATGACTTATTGGTCAGGGCACGTGCCCAGGTTGTGGGCTTGATCCCCAGTAGGGAGCATGCTGGAGATAGCCTATCAATGATTCTTTTTTATCATTGTTTCTATCTCTCTCTTCCTCTCCTTTCTTCTCTGAAATCAATAAAAAGAAAATATTTTAGTAAAATGAAAGTAAGCCAAGTGAAAGGAAATTTTTCTGATACTTTCTAACTATTTGACAAAGGAAGGAAAAGAGTCATTCTCCAAAGCAGTAACTATATGTTAAAGGCTGGATTGATTGGCTCCAGAACAGTTACCGTACTATAATGAATCACACAATGGTCACCACCTGACTGCATTTACAATTATCTCTTTTATTATTCAACTAATGGCCCGGTGCACGAAATTTGTGTGCATTAAAAGGGAATTAATTAGAGGAACTATTATAATATTGCTATTTGCCTTTTCTCTATAATAGAAGTGTCAGAGATGAAAGAAAATTAGTAAAATGTATATGAAAATCTTCCTCCTGTCAGAATCTGGGGCATGCCACAGGACCCAGAGTCAAGTTCCTGCCCACCCATGTGTGCCTCGAAATCACACAAGACCTAGACCCAGCCAGTCCCACCCCCATAAAGCCCCAGATGATTTGCTGCCTCCTGCATACCCCTTACTGGGGATCAATCCCACAACCTGGGCATGAGCCCTTAAGTAGGCATGTGAACCTGGGATCCTTCAATATGCAAACCAAAGCTCTATCCACTGAGTCAAACCAGCTAGAACCAAGGTGTATTTTTGATGCACGAATCTTTGCTGTTTCCCCCTGGGATACAACAGTACTTTTGATTTTTAATTTTGTTCAGAGGAATCCCATTGGCTTCCATTTGACCTTTCATCCCATAATAACTTTCATGCCACAGCTCAAAAAACCAAAATGGGCATTGATCCTGTCAGTTGGCATGTATATCTCATTGAATCTGCTTTTATTAGCTGATAGGTACAAGAACACACAATGCATTCTGAGTCCCCAAGGATTACTATCAACTCAGGATCAGGGTCCATTATTGGCCAAATGGTCTGTACTTATCTTTCTCCAATTTTCAGTTACCCTAAGATGTATCTTAAAACTTGCAGCATTATTACCTCACTTGCCTAATGATCTAACTGGTGCTATGTCCCATTAGAGTCCAACTAATTGGATCATGGCCAAAATGCAAATGTTTAGAAAAAGGTATAGTTTTCCAATTCTTCGACTAGTAGGAGTGGAATGAGAATTAAGCAAACCAATCCATGGTCTCCAGCACATCTTTTCCTGGAATAACATGAAATTCAAGCCCAATCCACTGCACCAATAATTCTCTATAAAAGGACAGACTCAGGAAAGCCTTGACATCAAAGAAGAGAAACGATGAAAGGTGTATGTTTCCATTTTGACTCAGTTAGGAATCAAGAATTTCCCAAGTTCAAAAAGATCTGAGATTCAAGTATTTTCAGCTTTCATGTTTCAGAAAACATCAACTTGAGGTTGTACCAGGTTACAGAGCCAAATACTTAAAGCAGAGTTCAAAAGTACTAGTGATGAAGGAAATAACTAATAAATAGGACTACACTAAAATTACAATGTATAATTTTAACACTGCCCCCACCAGATTGAAGGGTTGTACTCATGCATGTGGGGTGCATGCTTTCATGCTGTTTCCTCAAAATTCTCACTCTGCCATCTGCATGATGCAACTGGAAATGTGATTCATCCGACCACATGACTTTTTTCCAATTCTCAACTGTCCAATCCTTGTGTTCCTGTGCAAATTGGAGACATTTTATCTTGGTAACTGCAGACAGCAAAGGTGTTCAAACAGGCCTTTGACTTCCATATCCCATACAATGCAGTGTATGGCTAATTTGCATACAAATGTCAGGTGGTCATAATAATCTGGCCACTCAGTATATATATACTGAGTGGCCAGATTATATAAAATTATGGGCTGAAATATATATATATATTTATATATATTTCAGCCCATAATTTTTACATATATATATAATTATTTTTTTAAGAAGCCAGGCACACAAAAAAGTTGATATGATTCTGAAAATTAATGTATATGTAAATAGAAGTCAGGACAATAGTGGCTATCTTCTGGGGTTAAATACTTGGAGGGAACATAGAGGCGGTTTTTGAGTGCTAGTAATGTCCTGTTTCTTGATCTGAGTGGTAGCTGACAATTTGTAGATGCATATGCTCATGATTTATTTTTTGTCTTTATCTATTTTATAGGTCCATAAAAAGTTAATTTAAAATTACAAAATTCAAACCAAATTAACAAAAAGAACGTATCAACTTTTAAACGTAGCTCACAGTAAAAGCACAAGGATGGAAAGAAGCAAATTTGGAAGCAACAAACACTGACCCATTCAGCACTTCAAATATTGTAATATTAAAAGCAGCTAAAATAAGTTAAATGGTATAACAAAGGGAATAAAAACATAATCAACAAACAAAACTTTAGGCTTCATTTTTTTAAACAATCACTGAATGTGGAAATGATTGATAGATATACTCTTATAGCTGAAATAGTCTACTAGTCTTTGAAAATAAAAAAAAATACCTTCAAAGCTTTTTCTGATATTTATATTTTAGGTATCAGCAATATCTCTTCATAATGATTTTTGGCAGGTCTCTAAATTTAATAATTATTTATTATGCATAATGTAACCATGTGGAATATTACATTTTTTAATGATTTATCAAAATTTCCTATTCTTTCTCCAGCAAAAATAGGTCCTCCAAGCATGAATATAACCCAAGTCAATGGATCCTTGTTGGTGATTCTCCATCCTCCAAAGATACCATATAGAAACCAAAAAGGAAAAAATGTATCAATGGAAAATTACTATGAGATAGTATACCGAGTCTTTATAATTAATAATTCACTAGAAAAGGTAAGTTCAGATGAATAGATAATTCTGGTATTTTTTTTCTTTTGTTCATTTGACTCACATTTTAGTCATAAAATATGTCTTCTCTCTTGCTATTCTATTCCTTTTCATTTTTCCCGAGATTTTTTTTTTAGTTCCTTCTCACCTTCACCCTTATTGATGAGGAATTAGTGTGTGGCATTAAATTAAGAATCCATGTATATTCACGTGTGTTTGCATCTTTTCAGTCACTCAGCTTGTCTTCAGTTGATCTTCCCTGCACATTTAAAGATTGGTATTAACAATATTTACTTCCATTTGACAGCCACAAATATTCATTTTTATGGACTTTCCACATCTTGTTTTTAAGTGGCTGTTGAGCCAGAGCATTATATATTTGTGTCATTTTGCTATGATATTTTAATTCATTGTCAGTGCCTTTATTTGGATTTGGTGGTTAATTGAATTCCCTCTCCCCACCCCCCCTTTTTGGCGGGGTGGTGGCCATCTAAGACAGGGTTCTGTAAGTTCTAAGGAACAGAACTCATTTAAACTGGTTCAAGTAGAAAGTAGGTTAGTGGAGGGGAGGAGTTTAATTAGGAAATAACAAGCAATCTTAGGGACAGCCAGAAGCAAATGTAAAGTGCTGCTCAGCTTTGTAATGGCTAGGAAGGAGAAATGTAGAAGCAAGTCTTCAAGAACACTACTCTGCTTCTCTTTGGTCACATGTTGCATGTCTACAGCTGTCTCCAAACCTACAGTTCTCCTCATTGCACACTTCAAATTCTTGACAAAGAAACTGACCACTGGGTCAATCAGCAGCCCTCATGTAGTACCTACAGAGTCACTTGACCTGCCTTTGTATTAGGCTGTGTTCCAGGACTCTGGAGCAGGAGGCTGTGACCGGGAAGAAACCCCACAGCCCACCTACTACTGTGACAGGAACAACTTATCAATTGTATCAAAATAGAGCAAACCAGTGACTTACTGAAAACCATTTAACATCTCTTCTTTTTCCTTGTATATAGGAACAAAAGGTGTATGAAGGAACTCACAGAGTGGTTGAAATTGAAGCAGTAACGCCTCATACTGGTTACTGTGTAGTGGCTGAATTATATCAGCCCATGCTAGACAGAAGAAGTCAGAGAAGTGAAGAGGGATGTGTGAAATGACCTTGAAGTGGTATGGTGTGCTCTGCAACATGGAAATCAAAAGCTCTCTGGGAATGGGATGGCTCATGCTTGAAGTATTTCACTGAAAATTGTTTTTATTCTTCTTAAAGCAATGTCACACTTTTGGGACTTCTTTGTTTTTCCATTATTTCTTCCCTTATATTTCATTTGTAAACTGAATTTAGGCAGCATATTCACTTCCAACATATTAGAATTTAAAGAAGGGCTCTCTGAAATTAGAGCTTTACTTCTGAATGTAACATCCCTCGCAACAACCTCCACTGTTCTGAAAAATATAAGAACCAAGGAATAGTAGGCATTTAAAAAACTGTTGTTAAATTAATTTTTTGACAAATAGCATTATAGACAAGCAATCCTGAAGCAATCTCTTTCACTTTCTATTGAAACAATTTGAGATAAATGTGCCAACTTTTATATGAATGAACATTTTATATGAATGAATATTTTCCCATATATTTCTATTTTATATAAATACTAGAGGCCTGGAGGGCAGGGGGTCCCCTCAGCCTGGGCTGTACCCTTTTGTAGTCTGGGAGCCCTTGGGGGATGTCCGGCAGTTGAACATTCTTAGAGGCTCCCACCACTGCTGCTGCGCTCACCAGCCACCAGCCTGGCTTCTGGCTGAGCAGCAGTCCCCCTGTAGGAGCACTCTGACCACCAGGGGACAGCTCTGCATTGAGCATCCGCGCCCCCTCTAGTCCCTGCTGGTGATCAGTACACGTCATAGCAACTGGTCCCTCAGCCATTCAGTCAATTTGCATATTATCCTTTTATTATATAGGATATTATATAGATTTTTCTATATAAATCATTTCCACTTAATGAACCATTTTTTAAATCTATGTAAATAAGTATAGTACTTACAAAGAACCTCAAGATCTCTGGGGGAATATCTAGATTAAGATTATCCACAATACCATCTAAATACTGAAGGATCAATACAATTTTTTCTCATTTAGCACATACTTATATTAAGATCTTCTTTTCTGTTATTACATTGTTTCTTAATGTTGCTTTAGAAGAATTCAACCTTATTCTCAAAATCATGTATAATATATTTTAGCAACAAAATAAAAAAGAAACCTCAACTCCAATTTATACCACACTCACCACTCTACCTTCCCGATGAAGGGTCTCTTGCCAGTTGCACATTTGGAAATTCTATGTACAAGGACCTTGTGAATAACAGTTTGACTGGAGACATGGGATGGCTGAGGACAGGTGGAGATGTTGGCTTGAAGCTGAGAGCACTCAGTGGGCGATAGGTTTACCTGGGAGAGGGCCTGGTGTTGGCAGAGACCAAAGGCCAGCTAAAGCCCCCAACAGCCCCTAGCAGCTCACTGTCCCCCAGTAAAGGTATGTAGCCTACGACTCAGTGTAATCAACAGAAAGCTGCCTTTTTCATTTTGGGCTTTATCTTATATATCTGTTTAAGGTTGTCTTTCTTGTGAGAAGGTATATTTTGGAGAACATTTACACTATTCCTCATGAAAATTGGTCCAATATGTGATAAAAATACATTCAGTGTTTCTGGTCATATACAGTTATACACAATAGTAAATGGATTAAAAATTATTCAAAAATGTATGGAGGGAGAGAACAAGAGCTAGAGAATTGGTTCCATTGCTTTGCCCTATGGTCAGAAAAATTCCTTTACCCTACGTTTTTGAATTATGCTTTTTCCTTCTTATCTTTTTTGCCCTTTGTGAGGAGTAAGGATTGCATGTGGCCAAGAGCATTTAAGTTTGTGAAATTCAGCAGTTCTGAAGCAACATGAAAGTTAATAGATAGCACCAAGTTTTGAAATTTATTTGTTTTGCTTCCATGCTTAGGAAAGTCACTTAGGCACACTTAGGCAAGAAGGAAATACTTAGTTAAAAAAAAAAAAAAAAAAAAAAAAAAAAAAAAAAAAAAAAAGAATTGTTAGATTCTTCCTTGCTTTAGGCATATGCGATCATCCTATTTCAATAAATCTTTTAATTTTTTTGCTTTGCAATTTGACATATTTGTTATTTGGTTTGTTTAAAAGAAGGATAAAATTGGCAAGTCTCCCAAATTAAATTAGACTTCTTAGACACACCATAGTCCCAGCCAGAAGGAGCAGAATCCCAAGCTTTCAGTGATCTTGTTCTATGATCGAATTGCAATTCCACTATTACAGTTTCTCAGGCCAAAAGCTTTGGGGCCATCTCCACCTTCATCTTTTTCCTCACATCATATATTCAATCCATCAATAAATTCTACTGGATCGAGTTTCAAAATATGAGACATTTCTCACAGCTACCTTATTCCCAGCCAACATCATTTCTCATCTGGAAAATGGTTATGGCAACCTTACAGGTCTCCCAGCCCTGCCCTTGCCTCCTTCTAATCTAGTCTCAGCAGGGTAGCCAAAGCAATCCCTTTGAACACAAATCAGATCGACACTACTGTGCTCCTAGCTTTCCATCTCATATGGATAGAAACCCAAATCTTTATTGTGGCCTCCAAGGCACTGCATAATCTCATCCCTTTGATCCTAATCTCTCAGCCCTCATTCCCTAACTCCTGTGCTCCTAGCTTTCCATCTCATATGGATAGAAACCCAGATCTTTATGGTGGCCTCCAAGGCACTGCATAATCTCATCCCTTTGATCCTAATCTCTCAGCCCTCGTTCTCTAACCGTGGTCTGCTCACGTTACTCCAGCACACCAGCCCCTATGCTTGACTCTCGAATATAAATTCTCTGGCCTCTGGGCCTTTGTACTGGCTGCCTTCCAGAAAGTTGTGCTCCTAGGTCTCCATAGACTCATTTTAAATTTGATTTAAAATTGCAAACTAGCAGAAACTAGTTTGGCTCAATGGATAGAGCATCGGTCTGGGGGCTGAAGAGTCCCAGGTTCGATTCCGGTCAAGGGCATGTACCTTGATTGCGTGCACATCCCTGATAGGGGCTGTGCAGGAGGCAGCTGGTGGATGATTCTCTCTCATTGATGTTTCTAGCTGTCTATTCCTCTCCCTTCCTCTCTGTGAAAAATCAATAATATATATATATATATTAAAAAAAAAAAACTGCAAACTATCTCCTGCAACTCTCTCTATTCCTCATTTTTCTCCATAGCACTTAACCACCTGACACACTAGTTGTACTTGCTTATCTTGTTTATCATTTATCTTCCCCTCTTCCGCTAGAATGTAAAGGGCAGGTTTGTCCTTTCTCTCCCCCCCGCCCCCCCAATTCTTCCTTCATTATCTAGAACAGTACCAGTGCATGGCAGACACTCAACATTTATTGTATAAATTGGTGAATCAAGAGGACGGGGGAAGGATGAGTGAGGAGGACTGGATGGGAGGTTTTTCCTATTATTTTGCACAACCTGCTGCCCTATCTTCCTCCGTAGGTGAGTATGGAGATGCAGAGATGGAGTTAAGTGGATATCAGGTCTCGGACAATTCTGACACCATAGCAGAGAGCTACTCCAACTAACTGCTTCTTCCTCCAAGTCTCACTTTCTAGGCATCATTTGTTTTCCTTGCTGCTGGTCAAGTCCAGAAGTCCTGTCTCAGATTTTCTTTAAAAGGGGGGAGGGACTGACACTGGGAATGTGAAAAGGATATACCCACATGGATGAGAAGGGATGTTAGAGAGTGTTCTCAAGGCAGGGTTGAGGTAGATAAAAGAAGCCATGAGAAACTAGGATGCCCTTTCCGCAGGTGAACCCCCTTCATTTAGGCTTGGATGAGGGTCTGACAGAGTGGGCTACGGAAAGAAACAAACTTCCATTGGGCTTCCGGATTTGCCAAGCATTTACACATTGAGGGTGCCTCTATGATAGTGATGAGAAAAGAGGAAAAATTCCAATGGACACACAAGCTTTAAAGCTTCTTCAGTGGCAAATGATAAGGAAATTTGGGAAGTGGTTAAACACCGAAGGATAGCACTCGGCTACCAGAAAGGCATTAACTCCCGAGAGCCTCACATTCCACACACACACACACACACACACACACACAGACTGTAGCTACTGCCAACTGCTCAGAACAAGACTTCCAGGTGAGGGGCCTTCTTTGCCATTGTCACAGGTATTTGAAACTCACCCAGGTTGCCCTGTCACCTGACTTTTGAGAAGCCAGACTAGAATTCAGCCTGATCACAAGGAACAAGCACGAGATTGGGTGAAGAGACAGTTATTTTTTTAGGCACGTCTTTCAGCAGGTCCAGATTTCAGCGTGTCCGAGATTTACACTTGCACAGACATTATTTCTTCAACTTGCCCCCCAAGTAGTCATGATATCATGAAAGGTAATCACTTATTATATTAGATGAACCTCGGAGAGGTAGTGATTTGTCGAGGTTGGAAACCACATCTTTCTAATGGCACAGCTTAAGCACATTATCAGACCCTCCAGAAATCCCTCTGGGTTTTTGTACATATGGATGTCCCTCGGTCCCTTCGTGAAATTCCATTCATAAATATTTGTTTTGCCCTGTTGAATTATGGGATTTCTTTTTCTCTTTAATGTCACTCAAGACATTGAAGGGAAGTGTTGATATTTGAAATAAGACAACATAAGGGCAGGCAAATCTGACAGGACAGCTAGGCAGATGGTAGGTGGCTACTGCTTTCAGGGACAAATAGGAGCAGTGTCCAACAATATGTATGTGTCCTGCATGGGTGGGAGGTCCCTATTCACTGGAAGATCCCTTAATTCCATGCATTTATTGGCAAACATTCATTAGCTGGTAAGTTGTACCTCCAAGTTGCTTTGAAATCTAGTGTCAATTATTTCTATGGTATCCTGCTTTTCAAGCAAAAAATTCAGGAATGCATTTTGTAACTGAATCCCCAATGTTTTCAAGGTAAACAACAACAACAACACAGCATCAGCAAAAAACAGGAAAAAACAAACAAACAAAAAACCCTGATAAGTTGAAATCTGATTTAGGATGAGCTCTAGACAAGCTTTTTATTTTTTTATTTTATTTATTTATTTGTTT